GGGGGGGGGGGCACACACTACGGGACAGGATAGAGACGGATTTGCTTATTTGCCTTCTAAAACAATTATTCTTTCCTCAGTCTCACAAACTTTGAATCGTTTCACATATATCCAAAGAAGAGACAATATTTTAGATAGTGTAATACAGCATAATATTATAAAAAGTTATAGACTATTAAAAATTTGTTTAAATCATTTGCTCAATACTTAAAAGTGTAACGAGGAAATAAGGTACTATCTGCCTACTTTATCTGTGAACTTCAACTGTCTTCATAAATCCTACTTCTTGTTCACCCTATTCTAACCAAGTATGTATTACTACAGGATCCAACTGGGATCTTAGAAAAGATTTGTGGTTAAACAGCATGTTGGCCCTCATTTAGTGCCTGGAAGCCAACACAGTATATGGTACAGTGTGTTTCCTTCTTGGTTAATTTTATCAGGGAGCAGCCTCAGGAGGTGTCATTGTGAATTTCTCATACAAAATTCTATGCACCTTCTGAGTTCTCATTAATCTCATGGAACACTCACCTGTTTTTTCCCTCTCATAAATGGTATCTTATTTTTTATACTTATGTCATGTGCAAATATAAAATTATGCAGAAATCCATTTGATGACTTAATACATATTCATTAGGAGTTAATTATATAAATAAAAGTATTCAAACAGCTTAATGGCTATAAATTAAATCATTTTTAACAGGTCATTTGGTAAAAGTAATATCCATTTAATCCATCACTACATGCTAATTATAGACATCTGAAAAATTCATCAAGATTTACAATGTATAAGAACCTTTTGGAGTATAACCCTAAACAAAACTGCATAAAAAGGATTATACCTGAGCAATGATCTGTTCTCCATCGTTATATACTTTGGTGCCTATCACATCTACTACTTTTAGGCGTTCAGAAACCTACAAAGAAAAACAACAACTATTAAATTAATTGGGTAATCTTATCTATTTCAGAGGTTTAGAAATTGGTAGCCTACAAGCCAAATAAACTAAGTGTAGTGTGTGGATATGTATGTTATATTAATTGCCAACATTTTAAAATAAATTTCTCACAAAAATTTGAGTTTCCAGCTCCTCTAGAAAAATCAGGCGAGTCAGCAACACTCAGGACATATTTCCACATGGCAACAATAAACTATGGTGGAACAGCAGCTGTTTTTTTGGATGGAGCACATGTACTCCAGTTTACCAAACTCCCATCCTGGCTTGGTTTTTCTTTTTTGTGTGACTAGCCTAGCTCTGAAGGCATTTGAATTCCCAACCCCTGATCTATTTTTATTTAAAGAGATATGCTGCTAGAGAAGATCAGGTGCCTAATATGCATTCTGTAATGTGGCCAAAATTTCTGCCAGGCATATACTGATATTACAACAAAGATACTTCAGTAGATGAATGCAGTGTAAAGCGAGGATATAGCCCAATTCCCCCTCCCAGTCAGTGGAAAGGTGTCCACCTGGCCAGCAGCCACAAGGAGCACAGAAGCCCCGGTCCAAGTGTTTCCTATGTCCTTGAGGGTTAACAAGCTTTACCAGACCCTCTGTTTGGCCTTGGCATGCTGGCCACCCCCAGCACGGGCCCCTCCCCCTCCCCTCTGCTAGCTGTTAGATAATTCCTTGCTCAATCCAGGCCCGCTTGGAAACTCCCAGATGGAAACTCCCAGACAGGCTGTCATCAGGTCCTCCTCTGATGTAAGTAATAAAGGCTATATGTGATGCTCCCTGGGTTGGAGCTCCTACAGTACAATGAGTCAGTACTAACCCCAAAGATTTTGGCTGAGAAGGATGGTGTTGCCAGTAATTAAGGTGGGGAAGGGAGGGAGCAGAGTAGACATCTATTAAGGTGTCGGAGAGGAAATGTTAAGTATGCAGTTAGATAAATAAGTCTGGCATTCTAAGGAGGGACCTTGCCCAAAAATGTTAATTTTAAAAGGCATCAACACAGTGTTTAAAACCAGGAGATTGGACAAGTTCACCAAGTGAATAAGAGTAGCCTGAAAAGCAATGACTGAGAAGAAGATATGAGGACTTTTTTTTTTTTTGGTAACTGGAAGGATTTATTCTTTGGTGAGGGAGAGAATTTTGTTCTATTAATTTTTTATTTAATCCTCACCTGAGGATATTTTTCCATTGCTTTTCAGAGAGAGTGGAAGGGGTGGGGGGGAGAGAGAGAAACATCGATGTGAGAGAGAGACATGGACCAGAGCCGGGGATTGAGCCTGCAACCGAGGTATATGTCCTTAGCCAGAACTGAACCCAGGACCCTTCAGTCCACAGGCCGATGCTCTAACCACTGGCTAAACCGGCTAGGGCTATTCTATTAATTTTTTTGTTTCTTTCCCTGGTATATTTATAATAGATATTTGTTATATTGAGTTAATACTGACATTCTGTATTTAGATAAACTCTCCCTGTAAAGGTATAACTAGTGGCTACTGCTGACATTTACATGATTATTTTAAGCCTGCTTTTAGAAAGGGACCACATATACCTCTGCTTGCAGGAATCTATAGCTTACAAACAACAAAACAAATGCAGCCATATGTAGTAAAACACCATAATTTTAGTGAGTTATACAAACACCATAATTTAATCTTTCAAATGAAAATATGGATAGATTTTTATTCAAAGAAACTTTTATATAGAAATAAATATTCCTAACAAAACAGAAGCTTTTAAAGTAAAATAAAAGCATAAACATATACTTACTTCCAAAGATTTAAGGAATGGCAGTGACTCGATAAAACTTTCATACATTTTTCTCTTTTTGGCATTATTTTTTACAATTATTCTCCTGAAGGTTACCCTGTCCTAAAGGCAGAATACCAAATACAAAGACAGTTAAAAAGGTAGGTTTTCTGAAGAAAAAGTTTTAAGAGATAGTTTCATTTTATTCCCTATTATAGGGAATAAAACAAACAATGGAGATTTTGAAATAAAAGATTAACATTATTATACTCTTAATTTACTTAAGATTTTTATTTCTTTAAGCATAAGATATAGAACAATATAAAATATTTTCAGGTTTTTAAAAGGAAAAATCAATTTAGTTTATTCAGAACAGAGATCTACCAACACATAATTAGGCTACAACCACGAGGTGGCACTGTTGCATTATTTTAAAAATGAGATATCAGCACTATGTTCTTTTTCCCACCTCAGCTTTGAGATAAAATTGACCTAAGTTAAAAGCATACAAAGTATTGATTTGATACACTTATACACTGAAATGACTACCACAATAGAGTTAATTAAAAAGGCTTTATCACCTCATATAATTAACATTTCTCCTTTGTAGTGAGAACATTTAAGATTTACTTTTAGCAACTTTCAAATATATAATACAATACTATTAACTATAATCACCATGCTGTACATTCGATCCCAGAATTTATTAATTTTATAATTTGAAGTTTGTAGCCTTTGACCAATATCTTGCCATTTTACCACCCTCAGCCCCTGGCAACCACCACTGTATTCAGTTTCTATGAGTTTGGACTAGCACTCAGTTCTTTTACTGTGAATAATACCCTAGAATGTTAAAAAAAATCAAATAAGACATGACCAGCATTTTTTTCATAGAGGTATATCTGACATATAACATATTAGTTTCAGGTGTAAAACATATATAATGATTCAATATTTGTATATATTGCAAAATGATTACCACAAGTTTAGTTAACATCTGTAAGTTTACATAGTTACAAAAACTTTTTTTCTTTGTGATGAGAGCTTCTAAAATCTACTCTTGTAGCAACTATCTTTTTTTCCCCAAAAAAATTTAAATCATTTTTTATTTTTCAATTACATTTGACATACAATATTATACTAGTTTTAGGTATACACCCCAGTGATTAGACCTTATATAACTTACTAAGTGATCATCCAATAAATCTCATACCCATCTGACACCATATATAGTTATTAGAATATTACTGACTATATTCCCTATACTGTACTGTACATCCCCAGGACTATTCTGTAACAACCAATTTTCTTAATCCCTTTGCCTTTTTCACCCATCCTCCCAATCCCACTCCCATCTGGCAACTATGAAAATGTTCTCTATGAGTCTGTTTCTGTTCTGCTTGTTTGCTTATTTTGTTTTCTAGATTCAATTGCTGATAGGTATGTATTTACTGCCATTTTATTGTTCATATTTTTTTAAACATTTAAAAAAATATATATTTTTAAATATGTCTTTATTGATTTTAGAGAGAGGAAGGGAGAGAGAAAGAAACATCAATGATGAGAGATTCATTGATCGGCTGCCCCCTGCATGCCCCCACTGGGATTCAAGCCCAAAACCCAGGTATGTGCCTGACCAGGAATTGAACCACGATCTCCTGGATCATAGTTCGATGCTCAGCCACTGAACCATGCCAGCAGGGCTTAAGAGATATTTTCATCAGCTGAATCCACTTTGGAATCAAATGCCCAGTCATAAATGAATAATGTGTAACTTCTGTAATGCTGCAGTCTTTGGAAATGAGATTAACATACCTCCTTATCATCTCAACCTCTCCTTCCACAAAGGATTTGAGAGAAGTAACTGGATTAAATACATGTCAAAACTATAGGGTGGGCTGTTTAAAAAAGAAAATACAACTACTGTAAACATTCCCTTAAATCAGTGCTGCTGAAAGGGTGTTCTGGACACCAGCAGCACTGGTGTCTCCTGGGAGCTTAAGAGAAATGCAGTCACAGGCCTTGTTCCAAACCCACTGAATCAAAAACTGTGTAGTAACTAGATTCCCAGGTGATCTGCACAAGAACCTCCATCTTCAACATAGTCTTCCAGAATCAGCTTTGTAACTGCCTACTACTCTGCATCTTGATATGAAAAGAATCTCCCTTTCCACCTCACCCAAATGTCTCTAAACCAACTTTTAAGTCTTGTAGAAATTCCACCGTTAAGAAACTTATTTTGAAAGCCCAGGTCCCACCCCTGGAGAGTCTGATTAAATTTGTCTGTGGTGGGGCCTGGGCAAGAGGTGTTTGTTTGTTTGTTTGTTTGTTTGTTTGTTTGTTTTTAACACCCCCAAGTAATTCTGATGAGAGACACAGACATCAAGTACTTTTTTCTCTACACAGCTGCCTTTCAAGGCAAAATTGTTACCAATCAATTATACCACACTAAGAGAATCAGTTTATAGTGGTTCCGCCAACTCTAGTGTGCATTATAATCACTTGGCAGGCTTGGTCAAATACAGGTGCTGGGCCCCATCTCCAGAGTTTCTGATTCAGTGGGCCCAAATCAATAAGTGGGCCCCAGATACAGATGCTGCTGGTCAGGGGACCACACTTTGGGAACAACAGATTATACTACTTACACAGAAAGCTATCTCAGAAAATAGCACTGAAGGCTTTGGTTGTTTGTTCATCGTGTGGCTGGTTGGTTAAGAGTGAATAAAAGAGGACCACTTTGGATCTGAGTATCTTTCCCAGAACCAGTACATTGAGCACCTGACTTGACTGGGGAAAAGAACATGAAGATTTCACTCAGCACAATCTTAGTGACCAACATTTCAGCATCTGGTAGTTGCTTAATAAAATCCCCCGGTACCTGGTGATGATCCCAAATAAATCCACCCATTAGAACTAAAATACTGTCTCTACCTGGCTTTTGTCATAATGCTTTTACAAATAATATTCAGGTCAAAGAAATATTTCACTCACCAAACCCCACAGAGCACCAGGAGAGGTAGCAGTGATTGTAGCTGCTCTGGGTGTGTTGTACATTAAGGCTAGTTCGCCGAAGCTCCCACGATTATCATAGTTACCAACACATCTTCCAACACCATCACATTTTACATAAATATCAAATGTTCCTCTGTTGGACATAGAAAAAAGAAGAGGTAGAAGTAATTCAAGTAAAATCTCATTACATAAAATCTGATTTGAGAGAAAAACCTGTGTAATAAAATCTCATTCCCAGCCTCCCTTTCCCCTCTGATGACAGCAAGCAATAAAAGGGTATTAACATATGCCAGAGACATCATCTGGTCCAGGCAAGCATGAAGAGACCATCAACTACACGAGAGTGAGGGTTCTCTGTGCCTGCTGGGGAAAATGTGGCAAAACAATAAAAACTTGAGGTAATAAAATAAATGCTAAAAATATAACTAAGAGCAACCAAGTGGTATATGCAGACAACTATCTGAAAGGATGTATATGAAAATGCTGACTGTAGTTATGTCTAAGCATAGGGATAGTGAAGGATTCCAGGCAGAGTAACTAACTAATTAAAGAGTTTTTGTTTCTAAAATGAACATGTGTTACTTTTGACATCAGAAGAAAATAACTATTTAAAAAATATATAGCTCTAACAATTTGGTCAGTCATTAATTACTATATAGTACTTGTGAGGGGCCTTTATAATCAGTCTAGAGGAGGGGCTGGCAAATTGTGGCCCACACACTGGCTGCCTACTTTCTCAAATAGTTTTACTGGAACACAAACACACTGGTTTATGCATAATCTATAGCTGATTTGTGCTATAACAGCTGAGTTGAGTAGCTGCAACAGAGACCACGTGGCTCAATAAGCCTAAACATTTTACATCATCTGGCTCTTTATTTTACATTGACCCCCAAGCTAAGTAAAAACATAAAAAGTGGTAGAAATTGGACTAAATATCTGATCCTGGTATTTTCTATAGTTTCTCTGCACTCATCTTTTTTTAAAAAAATTTTTTAATGTCTTTATTGATTTCAGATAGAGGAAGGGAAAGGCAGAGAGAGATAGAAACATCAATGATGAGAGAATCACTGATCAGCTGCCTCCTGCATGCTCCCCACTGGAGATGGAGCCCGCAACCCAGGCATGTGCCCTGACCAGGAATCAAACTGCGATCTCCTGGATCATAGGGTGATGCTCAACCCCTGAGCCACACTGGCCAGGCCCTGTGCTTATCTTTTAATTGGAGTTTTTTTCCTAGGCAAATAAGCCTCATTTTGCATGCCACTGAACTACATATTACCCAGATCCTCTATTTATATGAACTACACTCTTCTTGTGGAAGACTGTCTTTCCATGTACTGTAGATTGTCAGAGAACATGATTTCAAGGCCTGCTGAAGCACCAGTGACAGCAAACAGTTCTTTGGCTTTATGTTATTGGCTAAACCCTAACAAAGATAAAAAAGTGAGTGCTTTTATTAAAAAATGGATTATGAATGGTAAAAACACAATACAAACAAAAAGATAGGAAAATAGACAGAGCCCTTTGCCGGTGTTGCCCAGTGGTTAGAACATTGGCCTGTGCACCAGAGGGTCATGGGTTCAATTCCTGGTCAAGGGCATGTACCTGGGTTGCAGATCCAATCCTTGCCCCCAGTTGGGGCATGAGTAGGAGGCAACCAATCCATGTGTCTCTGTCACATCGATGTTTCTCTCTCTCTCCCCCCCTCCCTTCCACTCTCTCTAAAAGATAGAAAAAGTATCCTCACTCCTTGGGGGAGGATTAAAAACAAAGATATTAATGAATGAGGAAGAGAATAATTGACTCTTAATGTAATTCACAGAATGGCTGTTTCAAGGATACTGTCTAGAATTTTTTCATGAATGATTATTTTTCAAGTATAGATTGATTCTTCTATTTTATACTGTTTATACTTTTGCATTAAAACTGTTCTCTACATTTTCTACTTTGAATAAGATCAAATATACAATAAATGTGCTGAAGAAAAATAAAATGAGCTATAGTTCGGTTGAAATCGCGTGTCTAAAATCCGTTAAAATACTGTGGTCTGCTTTTTTATATAGATCCCTTCCCTGGTAATGTGAGGCCTCAGGCATGGAAAGAACACAAACTGTGGCCAAGAGCCTGGGCTGTGGGGTCAGCTCTACACTGATCATCTGGGTGAACTTAACCTACTCATGTCACTTCTGTATGCCTGAGAGTTTTTACCTCTCAAATGGTTAATTAGAATCTACCTGAAAATGATGTACTATATACAAATGTAGTAATAAGAGTAAAGAGGCATTCACAACTATATGTTAATGTGCCATATTATAACCACTGAAATTTTACACCAAAGGTTTGTTACATTTCAGTAGTGAAGTTATGCAAAACTTACCTATCGATTACATAAAAGTTGTCACCATCATCACCTTGATCGATTACATGTTCCCCTTCTTTGACCAATTTTTCAAACATGGCATCTAATACTTGAGACATCTGCTCCTATGTTTTGAAAAGAAAAGATATAATCTTTATGTTTTTCTAGAACATGTTTTCTTAAGTAACCATAATTAGCTTTGTATTTCTGTGAACAAGTGCAAAGAATTGGAAATATCATTACTGCTATTAAGTCTTGTAAAAAAAAAAACACAGCACAATCTTTCTGACCACATACAAAGATGATTATATATTTACTCTCATATTAAGTATCTACATGAAAGTAATTAAAGTCTATTTCAGAATATTTGTAATTATCACCACTTTAACATGAAAAAAATCAATCACCAAACCCACATATACCTTCTGAAATATAATCTTAACAACTAAAATGATCAGGTTAAGTAAAGAACTATTAAAAATATATTTTTAAAAATCTGTTTTTAAAACTTCCCTATATTAGTTATCACTAGAATTTATATGGAGATTAGCTAAATATTTAGTGAATTTAAATCCTGATTCCAATCCTTTCTGGTTTACCACCAAAAACTGAAAAACAACAAAAGCAAAAACCAAAAATGACTGAGGCGAATATTCTATCTCTATGTCACTAAGGTTCTCTTCAAGAAGCAACCATTTACTTCCAAAAGAAGGTTTATTAAAACTGAAGACAGAAACATCAAATGTATTATCCAAAAACTACTTAAAATATATAAAATTTTTACTTTGCTAAAGTGTGGTTGACAGGCTTAAGGATAAACTTCAGCTAGTGAGAATAAACTAGGAGGTAAAAGAAATCCTTAAAACAAACACAGAAACCATTCAACAGGCTTCAAATAGACAAAACAAATGGATGTGGAAAAATAGTATGATGCACAGTAATAGAAGTCAAAACACTTTTAAGAGAGTTATTTGCTTTGCCATTTGTTAGCTCTGAATATTTGATCAAGTTACTCTCTATGGAGTATTAAAAGGGTACAACACTAACTTTGCCAGGTCAAAATCAATTATTATTATAAGTTAAGGAGCTGAAGTTAGACTGGGGGGAGGGTGGAAGATACAAGTGGGAAACACAGAAGAAACAGGGTGCTCTGGATCAAAAGCACCAACAGACCAGATGTGACTCTCCCTTTTGAACATGTCATAGGGAATATGAAGGTATCAATACACACAATACAGAGTAGGGGAAAGGGAAATTGATGGAGGTGAGATCTATAGCACAGGTGAATTAAATGGGAGGTGGCAGAGAGAGGGCGCAGCCCAAAGTAGGGCAGATGGACCTGCAGTATGAAGGGGCCATCCAACTGTCAGAGCACCATTAGGCTGGGAAACACCTGGCTCAGTCAAGATGGGACTGAGACACAGTCGAAAACAAGGGGACTGATTCAGAGTCCTACAAGATCAGTTGATACCTGCCAAATGCCTCCGCCCTGAACACAGAACGTCTAGCAACCAAGTATTGACCCCAACTCTTTCTAGACAAAAGATCAGAATCAGGTTTTTGGCAGAGAACTAGAACAGCTACTGTGACTACTCATGTCCTAGAACAAGGACTTTCCCTTGCTGGCATTGAGAGGTTTCCTCATGTAATAGCTTATTCCTTGTCGCCTCAACCTAAACAGTCAGTAGAAAAGCCTGCCCTACTTACTCAGAGCTCTAAGCCAGCTTTGTGCTGCTCCTTTGGTAGCCCACAAGACTAAGATAAACAAAAAATAACACTACATGAGATCTAGAATTCAGGACCAGGAGAGAGTTTTTAGAAAGTTCTACTTTGGTCCAGCCAGTGTGGCTCAGTGGTTGAGCACTGACCTATGATCCAGGAAAGAGCCATTCGATTCCCAGTCAGAGCACATGCCCAGGTTGCAGGCTCGATCCCCAGTGGGGGGGGGGTGCAGGAGGCAGCCGATAAATGAATCTCTCTCATCACTGATATTTCTCTCTCTCTCCATCTCCTTTCCTCTTTCTGAAATCAATAAAAACATATTTTTTTAAAAAAGAAAGTTCTCTTTGTATATACCCAGATATTCTCAAGACGATATTATATCCATGAGATGAAAAAGGGAAAAGAGCAAATCAGTGAAAAACAAGTGAGTTGGAAATTAAAAACATGATTGCCAACATTTTTTCTTCCTTTTAAATATATTTTTTTAGAGCAATTTTAGCAAAACTGAACAAAAAGTATAGAGAGTTCTCATATACCCTCTGCCTCATCCCCCATACTCCCCCATACTATTAACACCCCTCACCAGAGTGGTACATTTGTTAAAACTGATGCAGGGCGAGAAACAAGATGGCAGCGTAGGTAACAGTTGCACCCGCCGCCTCCCACACCACATCAAAATTATAAAATACAGACCAACCATCACTCAGAACCTCCTAAAATCTGGCTGAACAGAAGCCCTACAACCAGGGAACTGAAGCAGCACCAAGACCGGTAGGAGGGGCGGAGACGCAGGCGGATCGGGGCTGAATCGAAGAGACCCGGCCGCGGGCCCACATCCAGTGCCGTGGTTTAAACCCAGGGGGGATATCTCAGCGGTGGAGGTTTCCGGGAGGAGTGAGGGGTCCCAGCTCCACATCGGGCCCCCAGCCCGGGGCTCCAGGGCTGGGAAGAGACGTCCCCACAACTTCAGGCTGTGAAACCAGTGGGGACTGTCACTGAGGGTCCTGGAGGCTGCGGGAGCCCCAGCAGCATCTCTTAAAGGGCCCGCGCACGGACTCACTCAGACGTGCTCCCTCTGAGCCCCAGCGCCCGGCAGCAGCTTGAAAGAAACCTGAGGCACTTGGGGAGGAACTAACCTGAAATCGGGGCAAGGGGTGGAGGGGCAGCTTTCTCCCAGACAGAAGGGCTGGCAGAGGCCATTGATCCTTTGGTTAGCCCTCCCCACACACAGCTGGCAGGCAGGCGCCATATCTGAATCTCCAGCACCTGATTCACACCTTTGGCCCCGCCCCTCCCCATCTGCAAGCTCATCCAGGCCATTTCCAGTGGCTTTTCTATGCAAGTGGCCTCTCCAGCCTCATGCTTAGAACTTTCCTAAAATCTCTCAAACAAGCAGCAATGGGCCCCATACAGCTTGATAAGGGACCCCAGGCCTGGCACTAGTGGCAGCTTGCATTGGTTCATAGCTTGGCCTCTCCTGGACACCTCCAAGCCCAGCACAAGTAGCAGCCAACTACGGTTTGCTGTGTAGTTCATGCTGGGTGGCCCTGGGCAAGGCATTGGCAGAGGTTGACTTTGCACCTCCTGGGAGCCCCAGAGACAGTGCACCTGATGGTCAGACTCGACCACGCTGGATTACAACCCTACCACATCCACAAGTGACACTCAAGGGGGGCACTTGCTAAACACCAAAGCTCCACTAAAGTAAATTTTGCTCCATAGGGGTATCTCCAGCACAGCAGCTCTTTGGCTGTAGTTGCAGCTGGTCCTCACAGCTAATTGGCCTGGGGGTCTTTTCCTCCCAGGGACGCCAACAGCAACCAAGGGTCAACTACAGCAGGACAGTGCACACAGCCCACACAGGGGAGCACCTAGAAGGCCCAGCTCAGGTGATTGGGGAGGCTGAGCCACTGGACCCTACAGGACACCTACTACACAATGCCACTCTACAAATTCCAGGAGATATAGTAGCTCTACCTAATACATAGAAACAAACACCTGCAAGCAGCCAAAATGTGGAGGCAAAGAAACATGTCACAAAGGAAAGAACAGAAGAAATCTCTAGAAGAGGAACTAAATGAAATAGATCCAAGCAAGCTAACAGATACAGAGTTCAGAATTTTGGTTATAAGGATGCTTAAGCAGACTATTAGGGAAATAACTGAGAAAATCGATAACATAATAAAGTACCAATTTGAAATGAAAGCTACAGGAACTGAAATGAAGAATAATTTACATGGAATCAACAGTAGAGCAGAGGATGCTGAGAATGAAATCAGCAATTTGGAACATGAGGAAACAAAAACATCCAGCTGGAAGAGTAAAAAGAAAAAAGAATCCAGATATATGATAATTGTATAAGGAGCCTCTGGGACAACTTCAAGAGGCCCAACATTTGTATTATTGCGGTGCCAGAAGGGGAAGAAAGAGACCAAGAAATTGAACCTATTTGAAAAAATAATTACAGAAAACTTCCCCTACTTGGGGAAAGAAATAGACTTACAAGTCCTGGAAGCACAGAGGGTCCCAAACAAGAGGAACCCAAAGAGGCCCACACCAAGACACATCATAATTAAAATGTGAAAGGTTAAAGACAAAGAGAGAATCTTAAAAGCAGCAAGAGAAAAGCAGTTAGTCACTTACAAGGGAGCACCCATAGGACTATCAGCTGATTTCTCAATAGAGACTTTGCAGGCTAGAAGGGAGTGGCAGGAAATATTCAAAGTGATGAAAAGCAAGAACCTACAATCAAGATTGCTCTACCCAGCAAAGCTATCATTTAGATTGAAGGTCAAATAAAGAGCTTCACAGATAAGAAAAAGCTAAAGGAGTTCATCACCACCAGACCAGCACTACAGGAAATGTTGAAGGGTCTTCTTTAAGAAGAAGCTAATGATCAAAAGAATCTGATGAACTAAATAGATCCAGAGACATTGACGCAGGCAACGGACGATCATATTTCAGAGGAAAGAGGGAAGGGGGGTGGAGGGTGGGAAGAGATTAACCAAAGAAGTTATATGCATATATGCATAACCCATGGACACAGTTAATAACAGAGTGAAAGCCTGGGGAGGGGGTGGGAGCCAAAGGGGAGGGGATCAATTGGGGGGAAAAATGGGACACCTGTAATACTCTCAACAATGAAGATAAATTAAAACAAAACAAAACAAAACTGATGCACTTACATGGACACATCATTATCACTGGAAGTCCATAGTTTACATGAGGGTTCACTCTTGGTGCTGTACAATTCTGTGAGTTTTGACAAATGTATAATGACATGTACCCATCATTACAAAATATTTTAAAAAGTAAATAAAAGGATAAGAAAACAGAACCAAAAACCTCAAAGAAAGATGATAAAGGGATGAAAAGATAGGAGTTCCACAGAAAGTGAAAATAG